GGAGGGACAAGGACACTGAGCAGGAGAGATGGCCTCGGGTCTGATGGGTGGGTGGGCACCCGGGGTGGGTGGGCACCCGTGGGGAGTGCCAGCGTGCGGCGCTCTCTCTTGTCCCTGGTTTCTGACCCTGTCCCCTTACCGCACCCCACTCTGGCACAGATAAACCAGTGGGAGGGTTCTTCCGCCAGGGTCCTGCTGGGGACCCAGGAATCGGCGGCGTCTCTGACCTTGCCGAACCGACGCCCCTGCACTCCCAGCCCCAGGAAGCTGGGCACCGGGGGCTTTCTGCCGCCACCACCACCACCGAGCCTGCCCTCTGCCCTTCCAGGCCCCCGGGAGGCACCATGCGGCGGTGTCCACTGGGGCTGCTGCTGCTGCTGCTGCTACCTGCCGGCCAGGGCCTCCTGAGCGTCCAGCGGCGGCGTGGGCGCCGGGAGCTAGCGCCAGGTCTGCACCTGCGGGGCATCCGGGACGCCGGCGGCCACTACTGCCAGGCGCAGGACCTGTGCTGCCGTGGCCGCGTGGACGACTGCGCCCTGCCTTACCTGGGCGCCACCTGTTACTGTGACCTCTTCTGCAACCGTACCGTCTCCGACTGCTGCCCTGACTTCTGGGACTTCTGCCTCGGGGTGCCACCCCCTTTCCCCCCAATTCAAGGTGGGCACCAGCACAGGGCCATAGAGTGGGTCGCTCTGCCAGCCCCTAGCTCAGACAAGTTCAGGAGCCAGGCTGGTGCACTGGCATTTCTAAGGGAGCTTTAGAAACAGGGAGTGAGACCCGACTCCACTTCCTGCCCCTCGGGTGCAACTCCAATCCCTCCAGCAAGGCTAGGAGGGCATGATCATGATCGGTGGGGCTCTAAGCTGGGTCTGGGGAGGGACAGCCTCCACCCTTTCTCCCAGTCCTGTCTCCTTTCCTGACATAGAAGGTGCTGCCCTGCCTGCTGACTCACCAAGGAGTTGATAAAACACACAAAGATGGTTCTGGGTCATCTCGGCTAGTCCTCTGCTGTTGTCCTAGCTACTCTGTCCCTAGATGGAGACAGATGCTCAGTACCAGGGAGGTGGATTGACCTTGCTTCCACTTGTCTCTCTGTCCAGTAGGAAAATCACTTGAATCCCTACCCACAATTCCAAGGGTCTCAGGGGCTTGGATGCTACATACATACCTGGGTTATCCCCCCAAAAGGCTGTGATTTTAAGGAAGTCACCATCCTTCCCTGTGCCTCCAGTTCCCTATGCCTCCCACATGCCTCATCTCCACACTAATTTAAATGGCAAAGGACCCCAGGAATATTGTGGCTGGTATCTAACTGAAGCAAGAGTGATCCAAGTTAGAGTCATGAGGGACTTCCCAAGTAGCACTTGGTGATGCAGGAGATGGCTGAAGCTACAGTTTGGTTTAGCTGGCTGGGGGTATGTATGACTGAGATGACACCAGTCTGGGGACCTGACCCTCATTTTTCTTCTCTCCCCGCCGCGCCGCCCCCCACCCCCAGGATGTATGCACAGAGGTGTAGTCTATCCAATCTACGGGACCTACTGGGACAACTGTAACCGCTGGTGAGTGTCTGGGGTGTGCAGGGGGCTTGCCTGGGCAGCCTGTGGCTCCCGAACTGGATTCAAGTACTTTCTCTGCCACTCACTTGCTGTGAACAAGTGTTTGCTTTCACTTCCTGATCGCAACACTGACCATGTCAGCTTGGTGAGCACATTCCCCACCAGTGAGTGGTCAGCTGTAGGGGCCTGGCCCTAGGTGCTGCCCTGAGCTCCGAGTCATTCCCTGCCCCTCCCCGCCATTCCTGCTGTCACAGGAGAGGGCAAGGGGGCAGGGAGGGGCGCCAGGAAGGAAACCTCGGCTGGGGCCGCATGCACTGCCCTAGGCCGGATGAAGGTCAGGGATGGCCGAGCTGGCCACCAGCCATCCTTCCGAAAGAACAGGGCCTTCCCTGGAATGTGGCCCCTCCTCCCTTCCCTCCGAGGGCAGGCTGGGCCCAGCTGGAGGAGGAAGGGTGCATGGGTGCCCCCAGCCCCATTCCTGACTCCAGTGAGATGGACAGTGGAAAACTGGTGCACAGGAAGCCTTGAATGCCATCATGGAAAACTGGAACCCCTGCCCGCCCCCGGGGAGAAGGAAACTTTTTGGAATGGAATGTGCATAAGCCCTTTCCATTGCCTCACTGGGACAAGGGGCGCCTGGGTCACAGTGAGAGCAGGGACTTGTGTGTTTCAGTGTGTGTCTCATGAGGATTTGAGTGCGAGTTTGCACGCTTCGTGTGCGTGCTGTGAGCCCCTGCTCAGAGAAGGAGGGTCCTGCTTGCCTGAGAGGGGGGTCTCTGGACACTGAGGGGTTAATGTGCTGCTCCAACTTCTGCCCCTGGGCTGGCCTCAGAGGCCCCTCTGGAATGCTGGTGCCTGCTCCCACCAGCCTTGTCTAGACCTGCTTGAGCAGCCCTGGGGCAGAGAAGGAAGTGCAGGTAAGGACTGACCAGTGCACTGCCTGGCCACCGGGACAGCTCAGCTCAGTGTGGCTGGGTCTCTGTGCGCTGACCCCTCAGTGAGGGTAGAGGAGTGTCTATGCCATCCAGAGGGTGGAGAGGAGCTGCGGCCCCTGGGCAGGGAAGAAGGGATGACAAGGAGAGACCCCAGCCCTCCCAGAAAGTGCCCCGCCTGCTCCTGAGATGGGGAGCCCAGCCTTACTGGGTCTTGGTTCCCAATGAGCCTCCTTAAAAGGCAACAGTGGAGGCGGGAGCCTCAGATGTGGAAGGAGGCAATTTAGCATCTTGTAATTGCAGAGCTATGTGCTCCTGAAAGCCTAGCAGAATTCCTAGAATTCAATTGTGTTGTCCACAGCGACTTACTGCACTCTGGAGGAACCCTGGTGGAGCAGTGGGCAGTTGGAAACTATCAACCCAGCGGTTCTCAACCTGTGGGTCGTGACCCCTTTGGAGGTCGAACGACCCTTTCACAGGGGCCGAGCGATCCATAACAGTAGCAAAATGACAGTGATGAAGTAGCAACGAAAATAATGTTATGGTTGGGGGGTCACCACCACATGGGGAACTGTATGAAAGGGTCGCTGCATGAGGAAGGTTGAGCACCACTGTATTAGCCGCTCCATGGGACAGGGACCAGGCTTTCTACTCCTGTGAAGAGTTACCATCTGGGAAACCCACAGGGGCAGCTCTACCCTGTCCTGTAGGGTCGCTATGGGTCAGCATAGACGCGATGGCAAGGGAGTACTACATTCTGGGCCCAGCTAGCACACGACAGACACAGTCCTCGATCTGCTGGAGCCTCTAGTCAAAGCACAGCTGGACCACAAGGAGGAACAGCTACACTCGCAAATAAATAGAACCTCACGGCCTGTAGTAGCCGGGGGTCGGAATCGATGGAGCGGCAACCTGTTCTGCAGCCCAGAAAGCCCTGGGGACAGTTCTACACTGGATGGCAGTGGGTGGTCTTATGAGGGAAGAGAGAGAGTAATGGGGGTAGGAGTTTAGCGTGGGGAGGGGGTGAGGGAAGGTGTCTCTGAGGAAGAGACCCAGGTACTGACCCCAGAGAGATTAACAGCAGAGTCACCCTGGCAGAGGGAGCTGTGAGATCAGGGACAGGTCCTAGATTTTATCTCCTGTCTCCTGTGTCATTGAGAGAGCACCTGATCGGATTCCCGTGTTCCGAGATCCCCAGCCTCAGGGTGGAGAGGGAACAGATTCAAGGTGTCTGTAGGGGAGGCCTGGTTAGGAGGTTGTTGCTGTGGTCCAGGTAAGAGGTGATAAGACAGATCTGAGTCTTCCCGGATGTGCTAATGGACTGGCTAGATGGGGACTGTGCGCCCTGGACCACTGGGCTTTTGGGTGGAGAAGGTGCTGTTTTCTTAGCTGAGGAATGCGGGGCAAGGAGCAGTTTTGCCAGACGGCCGGCCGCTGTGACCATTTTAAGTTTGAAATGCTTTGCACACACTCGGAGGAGCTACCAGGAGCCAGGTAGCTCTGAAACTCAAGAGACAGCGAGGGGCTTGGGTTTTTGTAGGGAGAGCAGTGGTCACAGAGACCCCTGGAGAATTCGAGAAGGGCCAGACCTGGGGCTGCATGTTTTATAGGGCTCGCCTCCTTCATCCCTGGGAGGTGGGTTCCCTTCCCGCTGCCCTGGAGTCGGCCCATAGCCCAGAGTAGAACAGCTCCTGGGGCTTTCCCGAACTCTGATCTGAATGGGAGCAGACTGCCACATCTTTCTCCTGCGTTCAAACCACCGACCTTTGGGGTCAGCAGTCGAGCACTTGACCCCCTCGGCCACCAGGGCTCTTTGTGCCACCCTGACTCTCTCCGGTTTACCACCAAGGGAGCCGAGGCCCAGGGAGTTTAAACCACGCACCTGAGGTCACACAACCTGCCTGCAAGGCTTGGAACCCAGGATCTGAATCCCTGTCCCCCTGCAAGCTCCAGGTCACCTCACTAAACCGCCTCAGCCATGCAGTCCCCACATGTTTATTGGGTGCCTCTCCTGTGCCAGGGTTCCCTGGGAGGTGCCAGCGAGTAAGTTGCTCAGCTGCAGACCCAGAGGTTGGAGGTTGGATTCCCCCCAAAAGCACGTGGGAAGAAAGGTCTGGCCATCGCTGTGCTTCAGCGTCAAGTCGATCAGCAACTTCCTACCCCCCTTTGTTCCCCCCCACCCCATGCGCCAGGTTCTGTTCAGGAGCCCTGGTGGCACAGCAGTTAAGCACTCCACTGCGAACCCAAAGGCTGATGGCTGGAGAAAGACCCGGGAAACCCAGGGGGCTGCTCGCCCCTGTCTGCGAGGAGCCCCCTGATGGGTTCCCTGGCAACAGGGGTTGGGTCAGTTGGTTGCCTTCTGTTTTCCTTGGCACTGACTCTACCAAAGAAACACCAGCCCTCACAGAGCTATCTATATGGAAACACGTAGAAACCACGCAAACAAGTAAAGCTATGAATGTGCAGCGAGACACAGCGAGACATGCCAAAGAGAAGGGAGAGGAAGGATGGGGGAGGCTGAAGTTCACGCCTGGGTGGCCCGGGCAGGCCTCTCTGGTGTGGGAGTGACATTTGGAGAAGTGAGGGTGAGCCACGGGGTTCCGGGAGGAAGAGCAGCTCAAAGGTCCTGGTATGTCAGAGGGCATGGGGACAGGGAGCAGGAGGGGTCAGCTTGGGCAGGGCCTTGTCCATGGTGGTGAGGGCTTGGGCTTGGGCTCTGACTCTGTTCTGCGAGGCCAATGGAGATTTGGGGTGGAGAACTGAGATGGTATGACTTAGGGCGAACGGGGTCACTCCGCTTTAAAAATACACTGAAGGGGGCGTGGGGGTGGCAAAGAGCAAGGATGCAGTAATCTGGGTGAGAGGGGGCGGGACCATGGCTGCAGGGAAGGCATGAGATGTGGCTCGGATTCTGGGTGTGTTCTTAAGGCAGAGCCAATGAGACTGACTGGCAAGAGTAGAGGCGTCCAAGATGAGCGGCAGGCTTTTGCCAGAGTTCTGGGAAGGATGGAGTTGCCATCGGCTGAGTCTGTGGGCCCAGCAGGCTTGGGGTGGGGGTGGGGGACTTCGGAGAGGAGAAAGTCCATGTGGGATGTGTTCAGTGTGACTTGCACCAGTGGGGAGTGTCAGGGAGAAGCCCCAGCTGCAGGTGGAAATTCAGCATGCAGTGAGCATGTAGGGCCACAAGGCTGGATGGGGTCATGTAGGAATATTTTTATACATGGGTTCAGAATCTCACCCCCCCACGTTGGCCTCTTCAGAGGGTCCTCAATCCACACACTGCTTTCTTCTTTCCTCTTTCCAGCACCTGCTTGGCACAAGGACAGTGGGAGTGTGACCAGGAGCCATGCATGGTGGACCAAGACTTGATCAATGCCATCAACCAGGGCAATTACGGGTGAGAGAGAGACATTGGCACATGCCCACATGCAGATTCTAGAGTCAAGCCCTCAGCTGCCAAACTAACAGCTGGTGGTTCGAACCTGCCCAGGGGCACCATTGAACCCAGACCTGGCAGTCTGCTGTGGAACGGTCATGACCAGGAAGACCCTGTGGGCAGTCCTACTCTGACACATGTGGGTCACTGTGAGTTGGTGTTGACTTAATGGCAGCTGGGGTAACCCTTAGGCTGTGTGCATCTCTCGCGCCCGCATGCACGTTCCTCCAAGGCTGCCCAGCCTGGCCAGATCCCTGACCCTCTCCCATTCCCACCCACCTGCAGGTGGCGAGCTGGGAACCACAGTGCCTTCTGGGGCATGACCCTGGATGAGGGCATCCGCTACCGCCTGGGCACCATCCACCCATCTCACTCTGTCATGAACATGAATGAGATTCACGTGAGTCCACCCCGGCCCACAAGCCTGCCATCTCCCCCTGACCTAGGACCCCCGTGCCTTGGATCTGTCCCTCACCAACAGCTGGGTGTCCCTGAGGAAGACCTGCACGCCCCTCCTCAGGGCAGTCCTTTCTCGTAGATCCCAAGTTGCGCCGCACTGGAAGAACTGCGGCTCCAATTCTGGGTTATACGGCTCCAGCATCAGGCCCTCCCTGGCATTCCCGGCCTGGGAAAAACACTCTTGGTCCCAGAACAGTTGGGCCAGAGCCCAAGAGGCCAGAAGGTCGCCGTGGTATTTTGGGAAGGGAGGGACGGACCCTCCGCGCTGGCCAGAACAGCAATCCTCTGAAACCAATGCAGTCTCAGCGGAACCCCGGGGAGGAGGAGGCTTCTAGCTCACTCTGGAGGGAGACGTGAACGACTGAACACAAAGGGTGGGCAGGAGGCAGGGTCGGCCCCGGGACTGGGATGCGTGTTGCAGGAACTTGTGCACGTAGGGCTCAGGCCGGGAGCATGTGGGGATGGCAGGGAGGGGCTTTCCTCAGTGGAGCCTCAGTCCAAGGTTGGAGTGACCAAGTCCTGTCCTGCCCTTACTCCCCTGGGCCTCTGGCTATTTTCTGCCCCCTGCTGTTTGCTTTGGCAGGCTGCCTGGTCACATGACTTTACTGCTTCTTCCCGCCCCTGCCCTCTGGGGCCTCGGCCTAAAGCCCAAGGTGCTGAGGGGAAGAAGGATGTGGCGGATCAGAAGGGCCAGAGAAGGAAAGGGCAGGCGTTGACAATGGAAAGGTTGGGTGACTCTGGCCTGGCTCTGTCCCTACTTTTAGCCCCATGTCCCATCTGTAAGAGGGGTCTAGACACCCTCCACCCAGCATTTGGAGGCAAGAAGGTGTTCAGTCCTCCTACTCAAGTCAAAGCTCAAGTGCCTGGGCTCTCAGTGGGCGCCCGAGGCACAGGCCAGGGCAGAAACAGGAGGCAGATGGAGTGGCCTTTGGTTTGCAGACAGTGCTGGGCCCCGACGAGGTGCTGCCTCTGGCCTTTGAGGCCTCTAAGAAGTGGCCCAATCTGATCCATGAGCCACTGGACCAGGGAAACTGCGCCGGCTCCTGGGCCTTCTCCACAGCAGGTATGCCCAGGGGCAGGGGCTGGCCAGTGGGAGAAGGGCCATGGGCTCCCACCCCCACTCCCCTAACGTCCCTCTTTCTTCCTCATCAGCTGTGGCTTCGGATCGTGTCTCCATCCATTCCCTGGGGCACATGACGCCCACCCTGTCACCCCAGAACCTGCTGTCTTGTGACACCCACAACCAGCAGGGCTGCCGTGGCGGGCATCTGGACGGAGCCTGGTGGTTCCTCAGACGTCAAGGGTGAGCAGCGAGAGGTGTGGGCAGGGCCGGAGGCCTGAGGGGGGACCCTGGGCCAGCCGCACGGCGCTCACTCTGCCCTTGCTCCCTCCTGCTGCCCCTCCAGGGTTGTATCTGACCACTGCTACCCATTCTCAGGCCACGAGCCGGACAAGGCGGGCCCTGCGCCCCACTGCATGATGCACAGCCGGGCCATGGGTCGGGGCAAGCGCCAGGCCACTTCCCGCTGCCCCAACAGCCATGTCCATGGTAATGACATCTACCAGGTCACTCCTGCCTACCGCCTAGGCACCGATGTAAGTCTGCACGTGGACGCGGGGTCAGAGGGAGGAGAGTAATGGGGTCACCTGCTGGGCCCTGAAGAATCCTCTCTGACCATCCCCCTTACCCTGTAGGAGAAGGAGATCATGAAGGAGCTGATGGAGAATGGCCCTGTCCAAGGTAAGACCCCGTCCTGTCTCCCTGTTCCAAGAGCCATGTACTGCTCATCCAAAAGTGGACAGTTCAAAGCCACCAGCTGCTCGGAAGGAGAAAGATGAGGCAAGATGGCCCTTGAAGATGTAGAGCCTCAGAAACCCTGGCCTGGAGGGTCCTGATGAGTCAGAAAGACTCGTTGGCGGTGGGGTGGGTCTCCCAGTTCCAGAAGCTGTGTCTGCAGAGACTGGGCGCCACCGGTGCAGAGGCCCATACAGTGTTGGGCAGTAAGTCCAGTGGGACCAAGGACAAGGAGGGCCCTGTCCCCTCCCTGTGGGAGGCACTGGGAGGGACATTTCGAGTCTTAGGATGAAAGTCTTAGGATGCACCGAGGAGTGTGCAGGCTCCCACTCTGACGTCTGTCCACAGCGCTCATGGAAGTGCATGAGGACTTCTTCCTGTACCAGAGCGGCGTCTACAGCCACACGCCAGCGAGCCTCGGGCGGCCAGCACAGTACCGCAGGCAGGGGACCCACTCCGTCAAGATCACGGGGTAAGCGGCGTGGTGGACTGAGGACCACGGAGGCAGCAGGGCCTCTGCGCAGCCAGGCAGGTCTCCACAAAGCTCACCCACTTCCCAGAGGGGAGACTGAGACTCAGAGAGACGTGGGGCCATGCCCTTGGCCACACCAAGACTTGGGGACCTCCGAACGTTTTCTAGAAATGGTCTCTTTTTTGTAACCCAAACCCCACGACCAAGTTGGATCAATTTCGACGTAGAGTAAGCCTGTCGGGCGGAGTAGAACTGCCTCCACAGGACTTCCAAGCTGCCCTCTTTACGGAAGTTGGTGGCCACATCTGTCTCCCAATGGGTGGCCAGTGGATTCGAACGGACAACTTTCTTTACACACTGGGATCCAAATAAGCCATGTGGAATGCAGACCAGAGTTCAAGAGACATACAAGCTCCACTCCCCTCCCCAATCTCAGCCCTCGCCCCCGCTCTGCCTGACTATTAGCTAATGCATCTCCCGGCCCTCAGTTTCCCCATCTGGCATCATGGGAAACGTTAGACCAATGGATTCCAACTGCCTAACCAGTGAAGTGTTCTTTGCAGTGGGAGTTTGGAACCTGCAAGTTACCCACACTCTCTGAGTCTCCTTCTTTGGCCCTGCTGCCCACTCCCCGGTGGCTCCCCAAGTGAGGCCAGAGGTCAGGGAGCTGGCAGACAGGCCGAGAAATGTGCCAGTTCCCAGAGAACTGGCTGCCAGCCTCTCCTGCTGCCTCCCTCCAACGCTATAGATGTGGACGTGGAGGGAGGGGCAGAGAGATAGAGAATTGCCCAGGTCAAAAGGCACTTAACCCAGTTACCAAAGGCAGCAGGGGTGCCCTGGTGGGGAAGGGCGGGCCCCTGGGAGCACTGGATCAGCCCCCTCCCCTCTCCCCTCTGGCACAGGTGGGGTGAGGAGACTCTGCCAGATGGAAGGACGCTCAAATACTGGGTGAGTCCCAGGCCACTGTGTTCTCCCTCCCG